GATCTTTGAAGTCCCTTCCAACCCAAACTATTCTAGGATTCTATGAAGATTAAATTCTCCACGCAAACCAGAAGCAAGTTCAGAATAAAAGAGAACCACATGTCTTACATGGCAAAGGACAGCACCATAAAAATGAAGACTGCATTGATAACTGAAATTAAGAATAATGCTCTTCACTGCTCTGCCTTCACACTAAAACTGGTGAGACATTCCGGCTGCAAATAAAAGGTGGAAAACAGACAAGGCAGTATTAGCAACTGCAAGCATTCTTCTGAATTCACTGAGCCCAAATAAAGGTTAGAATTGTACCTGGAGTCTTGAAATTTCTCAGCTGAGATGGACTGTCACAGATTTCCAAGATCCAATCACCTGCTGCTTTTTCACTCCAGCAGTGAGTAGTCATAAACTCCCAGTTTTTGAATCCTTCCATGGAATGATCAAATAGCCTAAAACACATAATGACACCATTTTAAGTGAACCATTTTATCTGGGGAGCTAAGTCTCCATGTCTGCAAACTCTTGAGTGACCAGTTCATTCATCTGTGCCTTTACATAATGTTACCCATGACGGTTTTCCCACACATATTTCAAGTATATTCAATAGTTTCTTCTTTTGATGGAAGAGATTCTTTACACGCCATGACTTTTTATAATGTGAAAGAGAATGGAAAGATAATTTATTGTGAAAAAAAAATGCTAATATGTTTAACAGGATTCATGTGTCTTGGGAAAAATGCATACAATACAGCATATCCGTTGCTTTAACAGCATGATGTAAATACAAATAACTAAGTTGGAAAATTTCTGAAACATTTATTTTTGGCTTTGGATTGGAATACTTAAAAGGGACTTAAAAACAATAGAAAGTATTAAGTGACTGAGACAATATTAGTAGTTCAATATATGTGATTTCTTCTGAGGAAATAAAATGTAACTGAGACATTGGTCTCAATCCTCAAATGATCAAGGTATCACTCTCTTCAAACACATGACAGAATTGAGTTTGGGTAAAACTGAGAGGCTACTGGCATCTGATGGTTTCATCTAACCAACAACATTACCATAATTTAATTACACAGGTCATGGGTGAAGAGGTTGGATCTTAGGCCTGGATTATGATAACTTCTAGTATGGGGGCCCAGTTCAGAGGCTGCAACGTGATGCTGATCCCATGGGGGAAGGGGAAGCAGGACTGGTCAGAGATTTTATTACCTAAAACTGGAATTTACTAATGAGATTTTGGAAAGACACAAGAGAATTTGTATTTTTATTCAGCGCTCACAGCGTGTTGTGTGCTACCCCAAAGCTATTGATGGGACATGCACTTTAATCAAGACTGTTGCCTTGAATAAAATGGCATAGCACAGCTTTAAAAATTGTGTACAGATATATATACCCCCCCCATATATATGTATGTATCTATACTTCTATGTAGATACATGCATATATACACATATATGTATGTATATCTATATGTGCATATATATATATATGTATGTATATATATTTATCACTATTTTAATTTAGTCTTTATTTGTGAAAATGCCACTGGTAATAACTAAGCTGAAATATTTTTCACAAAACAAGATCACTCCAGTAGAAAATCCAGTAGATTAAAAACCCTGTTCCATAAAAAAGAGAAAAGGCTCATATTAGACTACAAAACGATTACAATATTTTGCACTCACTTGATTCTCTAACTGCTATTTCTATGCTAATTGCAAGATTTATTCTCAAAAGGTTTTGAAGTTAAGTAAACATTGGGAAAGCAGGATACTTTTGCAGCAAGGTGAGTATGTGTCAATTTCTGGTAAAAATTGCTACACAGGATGTGAATAAAATCCCATACTTGCTGAAGACTTTCGTCAGTCAGAGGCATGGGGTCAGGTACTGTGTATCCACACCTACTGCAGCAGGACCTGCATGGACCTGCTCGTCTGGTGCACTTTATAGGACAGCCCAAAGGTGATTTTCACATTCTCATTTGTGCAGCCTTTTTCCATTTTAAATGAACACCTATAATAGTACTCTTTTTAACTAGTGTTGATAACATAAAATTAAAATACAGATATATATTTAGAATTATGTTTCATTTTCACTGATAATTGGTTGAGATTTTCTTCTGATGCAGTTCTATGCCTCTGTGCGTGTGTCTGTATGTGCATATATACATATATTCTGCCAGCAGAATTGGTCTGTTTCATGTCACTGTTAAATCAGTTGTTTGGATACAGCAAATCTCACCAACACATGGCACACATACTTTACTGAAAGGGTAGAAATTATAACACAGTTATTACTCAGTGTTTGCATGTGGATATGTTCAATTTAAGTCATTATATAGGTTATTTCCAACAGTTAGTCAAATTGTCATACTGTGTTTTGCAAGTAACTGTGCTGGTTTTGGCTGGGACAGAGTTAATTTCCTTCATAGTAGCTAGTATGGGGCCATGTTTTGGATTTGTGCTGAAAATAGTGTTGGTAACACAGGGATGTTTTCATTACTGTTGAGCAGTGCTTACACAGGGTCAAGCTGCTTCTCATACCACCCCACCAGTGAGTGGGCTGGGAGTGCGCAAGAAGTTGGGAGGGGACACAGCTGGGACCAGAGGGCCATCCCAGACCATAGGATGTCATGCTGAGTCATAATAGCTGGGGGGGGAAGAAGGAAGCCGGGGACATTGGGAGTGATGGCATCCGTCTTCCCAAGTCACTGTTACACACGATGGGGCCCTGCTGTCCTGGAGATGGCTGAACACCTGCCTGCCGATGGGAAGCGGTGAATGAATTCCTCACTTTGCTTTGCTTGTGTGTGCAGCTTTTGCTTTACCTAAGCAAAAATAAACTGTCTTTATCTCAACCCACGACCTTTCTCACTTTTACCCTTTCGATTCTCTCCCCTACCCCACCCAGGGAGGGAGTGAGCAAGCGGCTGTGTGGAGCTTGGCTTAGTTGCCAGCTGGGGTTAAACCATGACAACAACTAATTTATTACTTTCTAAACACCCGGTCAATCCGTCAAGGCAGCAATATTCCTCTTTGCCATTGTGGCAACTAAATTATATAGTATTATGCAAATACTTGCAATTATACTGTAAATTCTGTGTTCACTGGGTTTCCATTCCCATACATAGAAACACAAGTTGCTGTTTATTTTTACTGTAATTAGTCCAGTATTTCCCATAGTATTTTTTGTTTAAGGGTGTTTAGTTATCATGTTTTGTAATTTTAAATTGCTGTCAGATTCCCATTTTAATATTGTGCCATTCTTTTAAGTAATTTTGGGAGGCAGAGACAAAAATCCATTATGACTTTATCATAGGTGTATAAAAACACCTTTACCTAAAATATGCTATGGCTGAAACTGTAAGCTTTCACATCTCCATCCATGGAAATGCAGAAAATCTGGTAATATTCTTTCATAGAAAATGGACTCGTTTTTGTAAAGAATATTTCTTTGGGAAAGATTTGAATTTTATAAAATAAGGTTTAAATTGGAATCGTTTAATGTATGAACTGTGTTTCTACAAAAGATTTTAGAAGTCAAAATGCTACAGACAGATCATAAGAACAGCTAAAAAAAATGTAGAAAGATACTGACCCTGAGGCTGTCTGTATGTGTATGTTGTACACACTCAACGGTCCAAGTATTTTTGTGTTGCTTTGCTTATGCACTAAACTCTTAAGAACCTGTGAGGCAGGACATGGATTTCCCTTTCAGAGGTGTTGAATGAATGAAGTGATCAAATGTTCAGGTGTACTTTTCCTTATTCAGAAAGAAATACATATGGAATAGGATCTTTTAAGGACCATGGAGCCAGTCCAGATAGTTAATTGTTTTGTTATTTTTTCAGATTGATAATGAGTCAAAATTTGTATCAAGGACACACAGACACAGAGCTTATCATGGACTAGAAAATTATTAGTATACAGTCTGATGAATTGTTAGTGGACTATTACAGGTTGTTATAGATTAAAATAGTTAAACAAGATTATTAGTATAATCTGATAATTTTTATGATCATGATCATATACATCTGCAACACCTGTACTCATTCATGTAACATGCTTTTAAGTATCAAAGTGAGTAGCAGCATTTGAATCTTTATAAATTATTTGGTAACATAACCACAACAGAATACCAGATCTGTTATCCATTTACCCAGATGACCTCTCTTAGTAACAGGACATTCAAGTTAGGATGGATGTGACTACATGACTGACTATATCCAGAAAAACTAACTATGGGTTTCTGCTTACAATGAATAGAATTACATTATAAAATAATGACGACTCTCTCTCTGAGAAATTTTATGACGTGCCATATGTAGGTCTATATAAGAATATATATGTAACAGAGTATAGAGTAAAATAACTATTTCCTTAAAACAAATTCAAGAGTCTTTGGCTCTTCCAGTGCCACTACTTCAGCCTAGAAGTTGCATCACCCTTCTATTTAAGAATATAACTTCAAGCAGAAATACTAACCTGTGATCAAATTTTAGACCCAGAGGAAGACAACTAGTCACTTCCTTGGAATTCCACAAGTGGGAACATAAGGTTAGTCTCTCACAGTTAAATGTACTAGTGTTAAAACAAACAGGTGTGTCAGCTTTTTAGCAAAGAATCTCTAAGTTCCTAAATGCTCACAAGAATTTGTTTTAATTTGTTTTAATTTTTAACTTCATGTGAGAAAAAGCAGTGGGGGTAGGGGACCCATTTGGTGACACTACCATGACCTATCACGAACAATAAAAGGCAAATGCATAGAAGGAGCTTTTTTATTATCGAGATCCTTTTTTTCATCTCAGAAGGTGCAGCTGCACCTGACTGACAGCCATGCTTGTATATAGAACTGACTACACTGAGAACTAGGAAGCCCTGCACTGGCTGATAGCTGGAGCTCCAGTGGAGTAGCTGGCAAGAGAAAGCTATTTTGTTCTCTGTAGCAGCAGTCTTTGTTTATGATGTGCTCCAGCCTACTAAACTGGCAGCCTGACAGGCAAATGGTCCTTTCCCACTAGTCTAATTTGCCACAAGAATTCAAGTGAACTTACAGTTTGAAGAGAGTACAGAGCACCCTCCTGCACCTGAAAATGCTTTGGTCAACCACGCTCCTTAGAGCAGCTCTTCTCCACAGGGTTCAAGCACCAGCTTCCTGTGAGAGTTCCCTGAGGAATGGCAGACCACTCAAACTGACTTCACGAAATCATCAGCCAGACCCTACTGCCCACCTGCACTGAAGTAGTCAGGAGAAAAACAAATGCCCAGAAAGCACATGGGCACTTCAGAAGCTCTCTCACCTACATGTGTCAGGGAAGATCACTTAAAACTTCTGGATGTGTATCTAAAGAAGATGTATTTAAAATGTATGCATACATACCTTTTTTTTTTTTTTAATTTCCATTTTACATCTGGTTATCATAGTCAATTTTATGAAGCAATGG